TACACTTTTATATCACCATTCAAAATTACACAAAAATTAACGCTGAATACAAGTGAATGAAATTTCAAAAACGTTGGAGAACACGCACACACACACACCTTGTGCATGCCAGGCGATGAAGGACATCAACAAAAGGAAAGAAGGTGACTATGGTACTCACAATATATTGTCAAACAAGAGGCCCCTGACAGAATAGAGACACGCTTTCCATAAATATCTGATGCACACTACCGTCTTCAAATTATGATGTGTATATTTCATTGAATATTGAGTTTGTTGATAACACACAAATTTCATCGTTATCCCGGAATACACTGGTAAAGGAATAAATAACCAAAAGGAATAACCATGAGAATTGTACATCACATTTTATAAAGTTTGCTCATGCGTATTTCACATTAAGGCAGTCACTTTATTGAATAACCGAAACCAACAGACTACTGAAATTGTTTCATGTCTCCTTTCATCTCATCACTTGATCACTTGAATACAATGGCAATGTGTTGACCACAAAATAAATATATAGTAGTCACATTTTTCGAATATGACTGTAAGCGATAAGCTGGGACTGCCTTAAAATCACAAGATCAAAGAAACACATGTGACAGAAGCATAAATCAAGTGTTATAATTCCCTCGTTCATTCACAGGTTCATTCATTCATTCATTGACAAAACCGAGGCATATCACAAAACATCGATAATGCTTATTCTTCTAGCCTACTTACTTGCACAGATATTTCAGAAATCAAAACCAGACAAGCGGTAAAGCTGACGAAATGTGTGTGTGTGTGTTAGTTAAGTTCAAAAAGTTCATCAATAGCACAACTCTAATTTTCAGAATTCTGTTTTGATCCAATAACATGTAAAACGTGCGTATTTTCTCCTTGACAGAGTAGTGCTTAGTTGTTCAAGTTTGAAAATTCAAATCCACACCGACTTTGATGATTCCATCTATGATGACATTGAATCAATTTTTGTAAGGTATGAGTTTTCATACATTTTGCATCAATCGATCAACAACATTAGAAAATTGGGTTGATTACACGAATATGAGCCTCATACGAATGTGAGATAGACATCCGATCATCTGAGGGAATACATATTACATATTTTCTCGGTTGATCAATTTATTTTCCCCAGTAAGACTGCCCCTTTTAAGCATCTGAACTACATAGATCGCCGCTATTTGAATACTGTCATAAGAAGCGTAAGGATTATTATTATTATTGTATCTTTTAATTCCTAGAGGAACATAGGGCTTCAGCCATGCCTCTCCATTACGTTCGGTTCTCTACCAGAGTCTTCACCTGGCTCTAAGTCTACCTACACGTTTTCATCTCCTCTTCACATGACCTCCTCCAAGTCACCCTTGCACTGACGACCAACTCGCCACCTCCCTTTCGGCCGGGTTCCACTCGAGCGATGGCTTGTCCAGTGATGTCACTTGATGGTTTACTCAGAGTATGGCCAATCCATCTCCATTTCTTCCTGCCTATTTGTTTCACAATCGGTTCCTGCTGTGTTGGTTCGCTCATTGCCAGAGATCTCCATTGCTGATCTTCTCTGGCCGGCCATCTGATCTTGAGTACTGAACGAAGACAACTGTTAATGAAGGTCTGTAGTTTGTTTGAGATGCTATTTATGACGCACAGTGCAAGTCTCTGATCCGTATAGTAAGCAGCACTGACTTCACATTGGAGTTGAAAATCCGGATCTTATTTCTGATGCTGAGAGTTGTGTCCTCTAATCAACCCAATTTTCTAATGTTGTTGATCGATTGATGCAAAATGTATGAAAACTCATACCTTACAAAAATTGATTCAATGTCATCATAGATGGAATCATCAAAGTCGGTGTGGATTTGAATTTTCAAACTTGAACAACTAAGCACTACTCTGTCAAGGAGAAAATACGCACGTTTTACATGTTATTGGATCAAAACAGAATTCTGAAAATTAGAGTTGTGCTATTGATGAACTTTTTGAACTTAACTAACACACACACACACATTTCGTCAGCTTTACCGCTTGTCTGGTTTTGATTTCTGAAATATCTGTGCAAGTAAGTAGGCTAGAAGAATAAGCATTATCGATGTTTTGTGATATGCCTCGATTTTGTGAATGAATGAACGAGTGAACGAGTGAGTTATAACATTTGATTTATGCTTCTGTCACATGTGTTTCTTTGATCTTGTGATTTTAAGGCAGTCCCAGCTTATCGCTTACAGTCATATTCGAAAAATGTGACTACTATATATTTATTTTGTGGTCAACACATTGCCATTGTATTCAAGTGATCAAGTGATGAGATGAAAGGAGACATGAAACAATTTCAGTAGTCTGTTGGTTTCGGTTATTCAATAAAGTGACTGCCTTAATGTGAAATACGCATGAGCAAACTTTATAAAATGTGATGTACAATTCTCATGGTTATTCCTTTTGGTTATTTATTCCTTTACCAGTGTATTCCGGGATAACGATGAAATTTGTGTGTTATCAACAAACTCAATATTCAATGAAATATACACATCATAATTTGAAGACGGTAGTGTGCATCGGATATTTATGGAAAGCGTGTCCTGTATTCTGTCTGGAGCCCCTTGTTTGACAATATGGTGAGTACCATAGTCACCTTCTTTCCTTTTGTTGATGTCCTTCATCGCCTGGCATGCACAAAGTGTGTGTGTGTTTGCGTGTTCTCCAACTTTTGAACTTTCATTCACTTGTATTCAACGTTAATTTTTGTGTAATTTTGAATGGTGATATAAAAGTGTAGAGTTTCGAAGACTTTGGTTACTACTCGGCCTATTACGATTATTCCTCGTTTCTGTGTGTGTGTGTGTCGTTACTCGATGGAAGTAATCAGATTTCCTGTTTTATCATTAGGGTGTTTCGCCTTGTCGCCTTGGTTACCATTCTATCTTCTTTTCTTTCCTCGTATGGTTGTTGATTTCTGTTCAAATTTGTTCCATATTTCCTTGTGTGTATCTGAATGCACAGGCAATCATACTTTCATATGAGTGGATTTGGTCACAGCTTAAGAATATTTGTTTGTTTCTTTCTTTGATTATGACTTAAATTCCTGTGTTTGAGTTAGTCACTGTTTGGCAGTATTGATCTTATCTATGAATCTCTGCATGCATTTAGACTGATAGAGATTAGGAGGAATGACTTCGAATGTGTTTTTTTTTGGTTCTCCTCTCAGATTGGGGCTCAGGGTATGGGGTGCTTTGCTTGATATACGCGGGATTTTCAAATTTTATCATTTTTGTAGCAGAGTGGAAATTTCACCGTTGATTTTATTTGGGATTGTTCTGTGATAAACTGGGAATGGTGAACACTGTATTCGGAAAATAACTGTTTTATTTTGTTATCTTCACGTGAGTGACGCACATTACTAGTTGTGTAATGAATGCAGACTAAGGGAACGCACTATTAGAGAGAGTATTCGATGTAGGAGTATATTTTACGTGAACCCTGATGAATAAAATTTTCATTAATATGTTTTCTTCCCTCATGTTGAAGAACTTTTGACCCTGATATAATGTGTTCTCAGAAAGGGAGCATTTATAGTGTCAGAACAGCAATTGGTCCGTTAGGATATGAATTAATATCCGAGATTAACAGTGACAGTTTTTTTCAGTTAGTACTTATTGACCTTTTGAGTCATATTTTGCATTTCATAGTTTCGTAGGTCACTTGACCAAATTATTTTGTGTAGTCAACCATCATCACAGATTCCTATCATTCTTTTGGAATTTATATACGTTTGAACTTTGTCAGTGAGTTTCAGTTCATGTTTCCACTCACTAGTACACTTCTCTATTCCTCTATTTCTGCATACGTATAATTGAATGCTCTCTACGAGTTTTTGATTATTTGTTTCACCAATGTGGTGTAATTTAGCATGACGTGGTTTTCCTAACTCATTTAATTTTTATGCGTTATTATTGTTTTTTTCCTTCACGTTCCCCAGTGGAACATAGGGCTTCATGCTAGTGGCTTGAAGTTTCTTAAGCAGTGTTTATTTTACGGGATGGGGTTCCTAGCCTCATGCCCAACCTTTTCTCTTCACCAGCATTATTTCTGGCTTAGCGAGGTAAAGGAGTGCGCCGGCCGGGGATTGAACCCCGGACCATGTGCATGGTCGGCGAGCGTCCTAACCGCTATGCCACCGACGCACTTGTTATTATTGTTAGGTGTAGTTAAAAGTAAACAAAAGGTGTTGTCACCTATAGTACTGCAAATGGCACAGCAAGTATTCCAGCTATGCAAAAAATCGATAAAACGCCTTTAAAACAGCCAAATGTAAAATTCGAAACTTGTACTGTATTCCTTTTTTGCTTTCATTTACACATTCTTCAGAGGACGGAACAGAAGTGGTCATTTACAGTTTGAATTTTCCAAGGTAGTTGGTTCTGTCTATAGACTTGTATGATTTTTGTATTGTGTGTGTGTTCAAAGGACTACTGTAGACATTTTGAAATATTACATTTGGCTGCTTTAAAGATGTCGCATGAACCTTTTTATACAACTAGGAAATCCGTTGCACTATCGGCTACATTATTCGCAAAAACACCTTGCGGTTATTCTAATCCTTACGTTTCATTGTCACTCGATGGATAACTTTTATTATTTTATCATAACTGGTACAAAAGGGTTAATTTTTTGAAATCTGTGTATTTCGTAAGTGTGATATAAGTGTTGAATTGATGTTGCTGAAAATTTCAAACTAATTCATCCATGATCAATTACAAGTTAACTATACGTAATATGAAATAAATTACAGGGATTTTTAATCTGGGATTGAGCGTTTATTAGTAAATAAGAGTAACAGAGAATTTCTTGTAAAAAATAAACCCCTTTTTATATAAGTAAACACAACAGAAAAAATAATTTGTTGAATAACAAGTAATACAGTAATACAGTACATAAGTAGATATCAGAATGTCACCGGTTTCAAGGATAATGAACAATAATATGCCTGGAAAAGAACTCAACTAAATATGACCTTTTGAATTATACAGTCTAGAATAGAAGGAGATATCAAAATTTGGATCAATTTGTTGTGTTTGCATTTCTTTAATAGTCTTACGCATGATATAATATTCTGTACAGTCGTATGCTATCGGTTGAAAATCATCAAGAAATTTATTCACAAAAAACTCCATTCGTTTTGGTATGTATGGCAGGTGCATTACACCTATTATGCACACACCACGACGAACTCTTCCACTGAGACATGGTTTTATGCCCCATGTGACATAACGTGATACAAATGCTGATCTTGTATGCGAACTGTCATTGATGTGAAGCAAGTTACTAGCACCAAGTGCGCCAAGTTGGGGATTGTAATTAAGTGTTGAGAAAAATAACTCATCTGGATGCTTCTGTAAATGCTTCTCTGATTTCATTGCATCAAGTATTTCGTTTGCTTTTGGATCAGTTTGAAAGAAATGAACAAATTCGCGTTTTAGCGCCATATAGAAACTGCCTTTACTCCAAACAATCTGTGGTTGGAAAAGAAATTAGGGAGATATGAAACAAGGTGATAGCATAAATATCAATGACTTCAGTTCTAAACAACAGTTTGATTCAAAGAGAGTTACTTCCATAGAGAGGACTGAGAGTTAGACTATGTTTGCGAAATCTTTATGCAGGATTTTAAATCATACGACGTCAAATATTCTGTGTTGCCAACATTTTGTTCTTCTATAGTTTAATGTTAGCCGATAATTCTTCCTTCAAATGGGAGAATTCTTACCACACATTTCCAGTCTCAAGTAAATGAATTACACTGGTCCAAGTTCAGAGAAGAGACTCTCAGTATTGATTTCATTTACAAATCTGCAAAAGTAATCTTCCTGATTCTTGCAGTACCAAAGTCCCACCTGCTGGCTGGCTGGATTCAACATAGAACTTGGCACCGATGTGCAGCAGTTCGAGTTGCCACGTTCCAAAGAGCACACAGCCGATGATATGTGTCTGATTTCCCACAAACTGGAAGATATGCAAGTGAAAAGCAACAAATTGGCAGAAGAAGCAGCAAAGATAGGACTTCAAGTGAACATAGACAAAACAGAGGTAATGAAGATTCCTGGCCAACATCAACAGCAATAACCGACAACAATCAGCATAAATGGGAGGAACCTGAAGGAAACAACTTCTTTCACCTACCTGGGAAGCATCGTCTCAACTACAGGAGGAACTGACGAGGATATCAAAGGCAGAATCGGAAAAGCAAGACAAGTTTTCATTTCTCTCAAGTCTATGTGGAGGTCAACAGCATTCAGCGTCAAAAATAAGATCCGGATTTTCAACTCCAATGTGAAGTCAGTACTACTATACGGATCAGAGACTTGGCGTGTCACAAAGAGCAGCTCAAACAAGCTACAGACCTTCATTAACAAATGCCTTCGCTCAATACTCAAGATCAAATGGCCGGAGAGGATCAGCAACAAAGATCTCTGGGAGCGAACCAACCAGGAACCGATCGTGAAACAAATAGGCAGGAAGAAATGGAGATGGATTGGCTGGTCATACTCTGAGGAAACCAGCAAGTGACATCACTAGACAAGCCCTCGAGTGGAACCCGAAAGGGAAGCGACGAGTTGGTCGTCCAAGGGTGACCTGGAGGAGATCATGTGAAGAGGAATTGAAAGCGTGTGGGCAGACTTGGAGCCAGGTGAAAACTACAGCAGAGAACCGAACGCAATGGAGACGCATGGCTGAAGCCCTATGTTCCTCTAGGAATTAAAGGAAATAATAATAATAATAAAGAGCACACAAAGGTAGACAAGAAAATGAGTGAAGAGAATCAATAGAGTTTTGACAGATATAAGAGTGAAACAGAATGATTAATGGTCGAAAGGAATATGAAAGATTACAGAGACTGAATACATCTGCGCCATTGACAACGATTTTGAGCCATGTCACCTAGTGTTTCCAGCCATTGATTCTTAGAGTCCCGAGGGCCCCAACCCGGAAGTCTGCATCTCCCTACCTGACTCAGTTTAACTGTCAGGGATTTCATGGATTGATGCCATGTTTTTGTTTGGCCACCACTTACTCTTTTCCAACCTGCACCTATATCAGCTAGTAATGCTACATAGAAAGCATCGAAAACTTTGACCTCTGCACTCACCAAGTATTCCTTTCTAGTGATAAATTCATGCATCTTTCATTTGATTTGTCTATTTCATATTATTAACTGCCTGAAGCTGCCGATTCTGCTGCAACTGTTACGTCTTATATACCCCTAAATTTGTCTATGCTTAATATAACCGTATTTTGAGATAACGAGCGCTTTGTATTCTCACCGGTTTTAACTGGCTTAAACCAGAATTGACAATTTAAGCCATTGGTTTTAGAAGCAGGAAATTGTACGATAATTTGGCTGAACCACCTTTGATTTCATTTTGAATCTTTGACCTTGTGCAACTGAAAAAATCAGTTACTTAACTACTGAGACTAGCTTAATTTTTCGAGTATTGGCAGTATATATATGTATATATATTTGATGTATTTTCGTCCCGTAAGCTTGCTGTTATTCTCACTGACAATGGCCTGTTTTGCCTTCTGATTATTGCATGGTCTCAGTTTGGCAGAGGGTATTTAACTGCGCACCACTGGATTTGGCATTCAGTCAAGTTGTCTATTGGATTTTAGTATCTGAACTAAATCCCAGTACAACTATATTCAGTTATAACATTAGGTAGTACTCACTCATCTATGCTTTTGTTGTCTTCCTAGGCACATCTGATTTCCTAATAGATACGTCATCATATCACACAAATTCTGATCAGAACTAATTACTCCTTAATTACTGCTGACAATAATATTTATTTATTATTTATTGCCATTTTAATTCTTTTATGATGAGTATCACGTTGAATGTGCCATTATTATTATTTTTTATTACATTTATGGTTATATCGTACAAACTATTGTAAACGCCTATCGTATTATGCATGAATGACCGCTTAAATACGTGCATACATTTCTGTTTGTGCTGGTTTGAAAATGAAATCGATATTTAACTGCATGTCTCCCATATTTCATTTCTAAATGACTACTTTTCACTTATTAAATAAAAGGGTAGTAAAAACAGTTTGATAATGAAATATATCCATCAATTTCAATGTCATTCAATCACTTCTTTCCTTGTTGTTTTCAAACACTGATATGAGTGCATGGTTATGAAACTTACGTCTAAAGGGAACACATGCTTTAAGCAGTGCCATCGGCAGGCATCTTCTTGACACGGGTCATGAGGTGGACGTCGAAAAGTCGTTCAAAATTATCAATAAGCAAAAGAGTCCAATGCTCCTTAATTTTGCTGAAGCCTTTTCCATCAAGCGCCTAAAACCTGATTTATGCGTCCAGAAAGAAGCGGTTATTAGTCTTTCTTTGCCCTGGTAACTGGATATTTTTCATCCTAATGCAAGATGCTGAAAGGTTTTCATTGTGTATGATTATTATTGTTCGGAATAGTGTTCAATATTGCATATATATATATGTATATATTATTAGTGTATGCGTATATTGATCGATTGATTTCTGTTTAAAATGAACTCTGTGCAAGTATGTCAAATTGTTTTTGTAGATACATTTAATAATGTTTTTGCCCTGTAAGCAGCTGAGGAGAAGGCGACGAAATAAAAGATGGTACCATTTTATTCTGCTAAAACTGTAGTTGTTGCTTTGTTCAAAAACATTTTTAAATTTTTGCAATGAGAATATAAAACCGAATAAGAATTGTATTCATAATTGAGTTTGAGTAGTTTAACTTGAGTGAAATCTGAACTTTTCTCAGTTAGAGTGTCAAGTACAACTTGAAGACTTGAGTGAAGCAAGCGAAGTAAATATTTAAAAATATAGCGTTTTATTTGTGCATCGGCGGCACGGTGGGAGAATGCTCGCCAACCGCGCATGTGGTCCGGGGTTCGATCCTCAGCCAACGCACTCCTTTACCTCTCTAAGTTAGCAATAAGGCTAGTAAAGAGGAAAGGTTAGGCTATGAGGCTAGCAACCCTATCCTATAAAAGTAAATATCACTGCTACCAAAACTTCATGCCTCTAGCTTGAAGCCGTATGTTCCACTGGAAACGTAAAGGAATAAAAAAGTAACGTTTTAGTCTACGAAACATTTATATACCTTTTATATACATATATAACACAAATACCAAAACAAAAGAGTTTAATATCATGTGATTGTATTTGTTTCCGTAGTGGCACTCATTATTTCAAATAAACCTGTAATTAGATTTTTTTTTTTGATTTACAGCTTGATTTCCACACCGTATTTTCAGTACAAGTGTGGAACTTTCAGCATGGATATCGGTTGCCCAAATTCAGGCATACCATAGATATCGGGTGTGCGCCGGCAGGGGTTCGAACCCCGGACCATGTGCATGGTCGGCGAGAGTCCTAACCACTGTGCCACCGACGCACACATTTCAGTGTTCAGTAGGAATAGAAATAAGTAAGTTGGGTATACACGAGTATACTTCCATTATGCGGTTGATATGAAAAAGAAGAGTTTAAAGACGGTCATTTTATTACCGAAAAATTCCTAATAGAACCAAATATGGCCGATAGACAACTCTTTAAATTCACCTTTGTCTGTCGTTCACAGATAACACCAGTGAACATCTTCAGGGAGTCATAGTTTTTATGATAATTTCAGCGAAGTGTACAATGTTTCCTGCTTCCATGTTGATTCTTATCTGTTCAGTATATTTGGAAGGGTATTTATTCGATCTCTTATTGTGATAATCACTGATTTTGACTACAGTTCTCCTTATTTACCACCTTATTATATCTTCGAGGTACTATTCTGCTTTCACATTTATAACAATGCTCTCGCAGTTCTAATCGTTTCAGATTATATCCGTAAATAATAAAATACCACAGGAAAATATTGTTTTTCTTTGCTAAATCCAAATTTTAACACCCTTTTATGAGTAAGAATGAATGAATTTTCCCTTTCATAAAGATTGTGGAAATGTTTTCATTCCTCGGAATGCACCGGTTTTTATACTTTATAGCACGTTAAACACCATTTATTTTATAATAAGCTGTTTTCTACACCAGACAGTGGTGCCTATCTGAGTTATCTTCACACTTTACTAAACTTTTAATTCTTATTCTGTAATCAAGTGGAAATTGATGTTTCAATTTGCATTAGGCTATGTACCAGAATTTATGTGCAGTGGATTAAGAAAATGAAATCTCACACTGTGATCAAAGCAGATACAGTAGAGTTCAACCCCTCCCCCCCGACTATCTATTTGAATGTTGAGCAATCCAGTTAAATAGCCACAATACTGTTATACACTTATGTAGGTTTAAGTGAAATAGGCAGTCAATTGTAGGGGTATCTTTAGTGACTACTTGTGTTTACTCGTTAGATTGAAGTGGCTGAGGTGGTTATTCACGAAGAGCATTCGCTTAAATCAACACCTATTTGTTAATTCCTCTGTTAGTAAACTTCGAACAGCATTATTATTACTATTATTGTACAGCTCTTCAGCCGATTTTATGAAGGCAATGATTATGTGCATATATTTAAAAATTTACTGATAACTTACGGGGAAGGATAGCTTTTTTGCAGGCCATCGAGATGGATTATACCGTGGACCTAGACATTCAACAACGTTTGATCCATTGATTGCCTTCAATGCTGCTACCAGCTCCCAATTGGTTCTCAATGGCAATTCCTGTCCACTCACATTCAAAATGTATTTCCACTTGTATTCAGTCTTCTTCATCAATTTGTCAGCACAGAGAAGAAACACTTCGAGGATGGAGTAATGACCCCATTGAACATCAATACTTTCCGATCGATTCACTACCATTACATTTGAACCGAAACAATTGGCTAGTGCCGACACTTCATTATAGAATGATTGTGGCGACTTAGAGTCAACGTGAATGCAGTAGAGATTGTGTTGTCTGTGTATCAATCGGAGTAATCGAGACACCTGTTTGATGTTTATGTGTACAGCTAAACTAAATGCTAAAGGGAATTGTTCTTCTTCAACTGAAGGATGAACAGTATATCCGTCGTACAACTTGAATTCCTCGCACACACTAGGATTTGTTAAGTTTAAATGTTTTCCACTCCACTTCGACTGTATACCTTCAGTATATGCGTGGCTGCGATTTTCGAGCAAATTTTCACACACACTGTTGACACCACTGTTCTGTATTTTGACAGGAAATTGAATTTTAAATCCTTTATATTCATTGACGGAGAATATTAAACGATGTAAGAGAATGATTAACACGATTAAACAACTTCCGAAAATCATTCTTTTGACTAGAGCAAGCTGATAATGTATACACGATAGTTTGTTGCATTGTAAACTCTGCATTGTAGTCTTCTGATACAATAATCATTTATCAGTGTTCATAAGTATAACTCAATATAAGTTGTCTGTGTTATAATTCTCCAAATTATGCACTCATTATAAAATAACACTTTAATAAGTTCACAGATTATGTGATATTTGAAAAGTTGAGTGCTTTTATCTCTTGCGTATCACTGAATTAATATTTCATTAAAGTATACTTTGAGTAATGGAATCATATGATTGGTGATTTATGCTTCACCTTACAAATGGTTCAGTTAATTATTCGATCTGATGATTATGCACTGAAATCTAACGAATGTTATTCGTCAATATATACATATATATATATATGTACTTTTGATTATATCAATATGGGCATTGATAAGATTTCTGTGTGTTGGAAACTAAGTGAAAGATTTTGTCAGTGATACTTTAAATGTTTACTAACCCCTAAACTCTACTACAAATGTAGGAAACACTTATTTCCCGATACAAGCCTAAAACAAGCAACAAACGTTTTGCAATTAATAGTGTTCTCTGAGCTGGTCGGTTTAGTTGCGAAGCTTTCGTCGTCCTTCTGGACAACATCTTCAGCGCCATATTTAGCACAAAGTGAAATGATTTAAATTTCTTCATGAGTGATATAATTGCGTCTCCTGGTAACTATCTTTACATATGTATTGACCATTTTCTATTGACTTGGATTTTAAACTTTCCGGTCACCTGATTTACTTTTTATTAGTTGGTATATTTCATCTATATTAACGTGTTTGTTAATTGCATTTTCGCCTGAGTACCAGGCTTCTAGGAATTCTCTGGCACTTTTCGTGTTTCCTCTGTCTAAGATTTTGACATTATCCCAATCAATTTGATGACCATAATTGTCTGTATGCATTGATACTAAAGAATACATATCATGTCTTTTCACGGCTGATTTATGTTCTTGGATTCTGATTCGAAGGGGACGCCCACTTTGGCCCATGTAATGTTTGTTGCAGTTCATACAATTTATTTTGTAAATGGTATTAATTTTATTCCCTTTTTCTGTTGGATCTTTTGGTTTGCATGATATCGAATTAAGCGATTTTACTGGTTTGTGTGCTATATCTATATCAAACGGTTTCATTATTCTTGCTATTATTTCAGAGATATTCCTCATGTATGGTAGAATGAATTTTCTTGTGGTCTTTGATGATGGTTTCTTGTCGGTGTTTTGATTCAACTTTAAACACTTTTTGATGAAATTTTGTGGATAACCATTCTTTTTGAAGACCGTTTTTGGGTACTTTTCTTCCATTCTTTTCAACTCTGGAGTGCTACAATGTGCCTGAACTCTTTTAAACAATGTCTGCACACAGTTTTGTTTGTGAGTAACTGGATTTCAGGTGACCAGAAAGTTTAAAATCCAAGTCAATAGAAAATGGTCAATACATATGTAAAGATAGTTACCAGGAGACGCAATTATATCACTCATGAAGAAATTTAAATCATTTCACTTTGTGCTAAATATGGCGCTGAAGATGTTGTCCAGAAGGACGACGAAAGCTTCGCAACTAAACCGACCAGCTCAGAGAACACTATTAATTGCAAATCATTCACCTGAGCTACAAATCTTCTCTATTATTTCAAGCAACAAACATTATTAAGGTAGGATTTATTGAATTGTCAGAGATATCCATGCTGAAAATTCCATACTTGTACTGAAAATACGGTGTGGAATCAAGCTGTAAATCAAATAAAAATAAATAGAGATGTTTACATTTGCAGAGATTTTATTATTAGAGTTTATCAATCCAGTCTCTCAGTTCTGACAGAAATGGTAGGTAGTCACTTCGAATCTGACATGGTGATATATCTTGCTTGTTAACTGTTTTGCTTATTGTCATCTGATTCAATCTCTTATTGTTCTTATTATTATTCACTTTGCCAGTGCTGATATTTTCAAGTTCTTTCTGTGCTAACTAGTTGTATATATATTTAGGTGATGTAGCTGAACCGTAATTCATTATAATTCTAATTGTAAATTCTCATACGCTTTCCCCATTAACCAGCTGAATTCGATGCATACAATATTTGGAAAACAGAAAGATTGAGCGAAGAAATATTTACTTTTCAATTAGATCCTCATCTCTGGCTCTACTCTAATATACACCTATAGCATTTTTATTACAATACACAACAGTTTACCAAACAAGTGGCGATATGTTTGTTAACAATAATTAAACAGTGTCAAAATGTCAATGGGTTGATAATTAACGAAGAAAACCAATACAAATTTAAAAGTTAGAAATGGATAGAATAAGTTAATTTTACAAGAATGAAATGTAATTAAAGATGAAGTGGTCAAAATAAAAATAAAATAATTTGGACAATCATAATTTAATAGGGGGAGGGGGGCGACGTAGTCCTGTCTTGTAACGATGGCCACGGTAAGTAAAGTGGCTGTACAAATTTCTTCTGTACACATAGGCTTGGTTTCTTCTGGTGGATTCCGAATGCATCAGCTGTCTGTAGAAGACAAACTCGTAGAGCAAAGTTAAGATTAGTCGGAATGCGATGAATAATTTTAAATGCAGTATTCACATCAACCTTATGCTCAGTATCAAGAAGGTGTGCTAAAATAGAACTACGAATAGATCTTGTTTGTCTCTTGCTTAACCACGCTGGATGATGTTCAGAAATACGACGATGAAACTGCCTAATTGTACGCCCAATGTAGCTGGCTCCGCAGCTGCAGTCAGACTGGTAGACACACATAGAAGAGGCAAATTTAGGTAGTTTGTCCTTATTTCTCGAACATGGAATAGGAGTGGTTTTGAAGAGACAACGTACTTCTGCTGCATAATAAGCTCTTTTAACTGCATTCTTCAAGAGCTGTGTTATGATTTCACTGATGTTGTCACCAAGGAACTGCAGTTTTATGAACACTGGCTTTTTCGAAACTGTAGCAATACTGACTCTCTTTGGTGCTGAATTCATATTCTTCTCAATAAATTTATCTGGATAACCATTTTTTCTAAGTAATTCTTTAATAATCTTAAGCTCCTCATTGAGGCAGTCGTCTGAACAGATTATCTTAGCTCTATGAACCAGACACTTTACCAGGTTACGTTTATACTTCAATATTCACACCTATCGTTTCGCATGAATGATTCATTACAGTTTATTTAATTTAGCAAAAATATTCATTCAGACATCTATAAAACACAAAATAATCGAGCAAAGAATATTATTTTCGATAAATTCCTCTTCCGGCTCTACAATTATATATATATGTTTATATACATAGAATATTCTAAATTAGTAGTTAATAACAATATTAGTGTTTTTTAAATAATATCGATTTGTAAAGTATGATCAATGGAATTACAGTTTATTAAAGATGCTTAAATTATAATAATAATAATAAAGATATAATATCAAATAGAATATCAACTAGAATTAGGGGAATTTCCACAAAAATTCCGGATTATTCAAACCTGGATGGCCAAGCTAATGATAGTGACTGAACAAACTCCTTTGGAAGCATAAATTAGGCTTGTTAATATGGATCCCCATAGCCTAAGCAATATTTAGTAGTCGAACTCTTAAAGCAATTTGAGATTCGTAGGTATGCGGTAAATAAGTTATATATCGGCCAATGTATTTCTAACAGTGTAGGTTTCACTGTAGGTTGAGTATTCAGCTGACGAGTTCTACGGTAATTCGATCAATCCATTAATTCTCGCTTCATTAACACACGCTGTTTGACCTAAATGATAGTTACACTAAATCTCACCGATAACCTAAACAGCAGCGCTTAATTACTACAGGTCATGAGCACGATTTTGTAATATATTTCTGAAGTTAGATAATACAGTAGTTTATCTGAGTGACACGGAACTAATTTACTCTGTACAAATCCAATCTGAATATTTAGTTGTAAATATTGTTTCATAATTTAAAATCAGTCAGACACACGGGACAGATTTGATTAGATATTGTTCAAGATTTCAACTGTGTCTTACAGATTGATTCTGTTGAGCATCAAGGGTAAGCTAAACGATACTTTCAACTGTCTAACTGCTAACATAAAACATCTTTAGTTTATAAGCTTATGCAATCATGAATAGAGTTTATGCCTGGTGTCTTCAGCCTTGCTTCAGTATGCAGCTGAAACGATGGGGTCTAGATAAGTGAAAGAAGTGACTTCCTTGAAATTTCTCCCATTGATGATTACTGGTGCTTGTTGTTGCCTTCGGTTTTCGGGTATTCTCATCAACCCTACCTTCTGCATTTTCACTTGGAGTGCATTCTTCGTTATCTGTCCCCTCTGTAAACTTGTTGGTTGTTGCCTGTGGATCTCTATCCTGTCTTCTCGTTCCCCACAGTCTGTTGCATGATACAGACCACCACAGTTAGGAAATCATCGGTGATGGTAGGCAGCCTTGTTTTAATTCGCGAAATATACCCATTAAGACATTGAAATAAGAACAAATTAGTTCAGCGAAGAGTCTCTTTTCGGCGAATTCATTCACTTAGCTGTACAGTCGCAAATATATATACAATTATTGTATTGCTGAAGCCTTAGCGATTTGGATGGAAAAGCCTGAGTTATGCACACAGAAGAAACTTCTCCACCCCCTCCTACTACCGTGGGTTTAATTTCAAGTTTATTTGTCATCAACATTTTGTTACCAAATTTTTTGCAATTTTTTCGTTTAACAATTTTTAGTAACTAACCCATTCAATCTTTTCACCTATTATCTAGTTTATTTTCATAATTGTCTCCAAACTCCTTCACTAGCATCTAATCTTTCTAAACATGTCTATATTACGTAACCCTACTCACATCTTACCAATCTTCACCCCACTTAGTTACAACTTTGAGTATTAATCACACATTTTAAACTTCTTCATTATTTTGATCATATAATCAACAACCCACACTAACTGTTATTTTTGATTTTGACAAACCTAATGTACACACACACACACAAAATAATTGTATATATATTTGCGACTGTACAGCTAAGTGAATGAATTCGCCGAAAAGAGACTCTTCGC